AAAATTACTAATACATATTTGTCTGGGGTCGAGTTACATCGCGTTTTTTCAACGTTGCCTAGTTTAAACTTATTATTTGTTAATGAAAAATCGTGAGAAAAAGTACATCAGTTCCGAGAATTCCATTATCATCACGCAAAAATTCGTCATGCACTACTTGTATTTCGTGTTCTTTGTTTTGTAAAGTTACATTAATTGAATAAAGGGTTTTGCGCATAGTACTGTTAACGCCTATTATTTCTATTCCTGGCCCCTTTTTATATTTTTTGTTCTTATCTAGATGTTTTTCACTTACGATTGTAATTTCGCTGCCGGTGTCGATTAAAAATCCAGTTTCCAGTAGTTCGTCGAATTTTAGTCGAACCATTGGCCTGATTGTTTCTCTTCTGCCGCTATTTGAGCAAGCGTTGACGATGTGCCTGGCGGATTGATTGTTGGCTGTCCCCGTTGAAAATCCATATTCTTCTGCTTCCATTGCTTGGTTCGGCATTCCTCTTCTTTATGTCCATAGCGTTTGCAGAAATCGCATTGTACGTTGGTTTTGAATTCTTTTTTCTTCCATTCTTGTCTTCCTTGTCCGTGATATCGTTCTTTATTAGGTTGATTATCGCCTCGAAACGATATTGCTGTATCGGGTTTCGAGATCATACATACGAGCGTATTCAAAGGCTTCTTGTATCGTGTTGATTTGTTTGCAGTGGAGAAATATTGAAATGTCTTTTCTTATATTGTGTTTAAAAGCTCTAATGGATTCTTCTCGTGCAAAATTTTCGCGTATTTCCGACATCGTGGTTCCGCCAAAGGCATAAGTATTGGTATTTATTGCAGTTATAATGTCATCGTGAATTTTGCTGAATCTTTCGATAAAGTCATCTGTTGCTTCGTTTAGACGTTGTTTACAAAGATCTCGCTTTACTGATAATGCGCTTACGTCGATGGTTTTTCCATAAAGAAATTTGACTTTTTCTATCAATTTAGGAATTGATGAAACAGTATCGGCACGTACTGCTAAAGCTGCTTTTCCTTTGAGTTTTTGTGAAAGGATCCCGAGTAGCAAATATTGATGTTGATTCTGGATTAATATTGTTTGCACGCGTAGAATCATGTTAATAAATTGTTCCGCGTTGGTTCCGTCAAATTCGGGGATCATAGGTAGGCATTTTTCATACTTGTCTATCTTATCTATTTCTTGCGCTTCTGTCAGTAATTCTTCCGGTAATTGAGGGTAGATTCGCTCTGTTATTCTACTCGCCGGAGGGATTGGTTTGTTATCTAATCGTGCTTCAAGATTTTGTAATTTATCATTGACTTTAATTAATTTCTCACACAGGCTGTGTAATACAATTTCTGTTTGTGTCATTGCGGGAGATTGTGGTCGCGACATTTCTGGAGCAGTCGTGAAATCTCTCTGCAGGATTTCGCTCAGAGTTGAGTCCGTAAGACTTACGTTTGTTCTGCCTTGTCTCCAAGATGTCCAAGAATTGTTCCGATCCAGTTTTGCTGTCCTAGCTGCCGAATTTAGTCGTGACTTCGCAGATCGCTTCGTTGGATCGCAGGTTCGTTAATATACAGGATATCGTGAAGATTCTCAAAGAGATAACTAGAAAACACTACTAGATTGTCCTTCACTTTCGACAAATGTCAATATCCCGCACAGCTGCCACCATTTATGTTGTAATGTAAGGTTCCAATTAAAGAATAAAACTTTTATTTCTGAATGATACAATAGTATGATCTTATTTCTTAAACCGCCAGTATGCTAATGACGCCGGCTCGATTCATTATCGGTAAGTATGCGGAGTCTAAATGACTCATACGTGCGCGCCATGCGCAGTAGCGGGTGAGAGCGTCGACGGTTGACCGACAATCGCGACACATAACGTACCGACGGGACTGATACAGCGAATATTACCCTAGCAGTGGACTGACGATCTCACTCGGTGATAACGAAGTGTGTGATGTTATCGGTACCGGCACAATTATCATTGAAAAGCTCGTCAACGGCAAGTGGTGCGAAGCGCGTATAGAAAATGTCTTGCACGTTCCTAAAGTAAAGAAAAATTTATTCTCGGTCGGGGTGTGCACAACAAAAGGGTTCGACGTCTCCTTCAAAGGACGAAAAGTAACATTCGAGCGAGATGGAGAAATCGTTGCAAGTGGCGTGAAACAAGAGAACGAAATATACAGAATGTTCTTTAAAGTAAAAAGCACACGTGGCAGTTGTGAAGCAAACATGTCAACGATTAGTTTACGCGTGTGGCATGAACGCATGGGACACGTCAACTCTCGAGTGCTTAAGGACATGATAAAAAAGGGTGTGATTCGTGGAGTAAAGCTATCTGACGTAGACGACTTCTTTTGCGATGCATGCCCTCTCGGAAAATCACACTGGTTAGCGTTTAAAAGGGGAGAGATGAAGAGAAGCACACAACCCGGCGAAGTAATACACTCGGATGTCTGCGGGCCAATGTCGGTCGAGTCCCCAGGGGGCTCAACATACTTCGTAACATTCAAGGATGATGCGTCAGGATTTCGCTACGCCTATTTTATTAAACACAAGTCAGAAGTTGTCGCCCGATTCAAAGAATTTGAGACTCTTGTCGCCAACAAATTTGGACGACCAATGAAGATGCTGCGCACTGACAACGGGCGTGAATATTGTAATCATGAAATGAAACAATATCTTACTGCTCGGGGGATCATCTTAGAGACCACCGCACCTTATACTCCACAACAGAATGGGAAGTCGGAACGCGACAACAGGACCATTGTTGAAAGTGCGCGCACAATGATCCAAGCCAAGAATCTGCCGCTCTCACTGTGGGCTGAAGCGGTAGATACAGCAGTTTACGTGCTGAATAGAACTGTATCCAACACAAGCAACGGTAAAACACCGCATGAAATATGGATGGACAGGACACCAAACTTGTCTCATCTCCGAGTGTTTGGCTCCGAGGCTTACATGCATATAGATAAACAGTTTCGGAAGAAATTCGACCCGAAGGCGAAAAAATTGCTCATGGTCGGATATCAAGGCGACTCGGCCAATTATCGTCTGTATGACAAAAGTACGAGGCGAGTCTCAGTGTCAAGAGATGTGATCTTCAAAGAGGGATCGTTCGTGAAGCCGGTGACAACGAGAGAAGAGGACATCGAGGAGTACACGTTTTCTGTCAATGAAGAAGAGGACATCGAGGACGTCCAAGAAGAAGAAGTCGACGAACCGAATCCTGGTGAAGAAATACAAGAAGTACCACAAGCAGTGCCACAAGTAGCGGCACAAGTCAACGCCAGACAGGGCAATACGCCTCCGAGACAACTCCGAGACAGAAGTGCACTCAAGACGCCGAAAAGGTATCAAATTGATATTGATATTGCCGAAACTAATCCACCCAGTTCGTTCCAGGAGGCAATGAACAGTCCAGAGGTCGAAGAGTGGAGCAAGGCTGTCGATGAAGAACTCGAGGCACACAAAAGAAACGAAACGTGGACGATCGTACCGAAGAAGCACGATCGGAAACCCATAGATTCTAAGTGGGTGTTCAAGACGCTACGAGACACGTCAGGAAAGACATATCGACACAAAGCTCGACTCTGCGCTCGAGGATTCCTGCAGAAAGAGGGTCTGGATTACACGGAAACCTTCTCCCCGGTCGTGAGATACGACTCGCTACGAGTCCTGCTTGCCATGGTGGCAGAAAAGGACATGGAGCTCATGCAGTTCGACGTGCGAACTGCGTTTCTCTACGGCGAACTCAGTGAAGATATTTACATGGAGATCCCTTAGGGTCTCAAGGTCGAACACAAAAAGGGTCGTGACTATGTATGTAAATTGAACAAGTCATTATACGGTCTCAAACAGGCACCTCGGTGTTGGAACGAGCGATTCTACAGTTTTCTTAAGAAATTCGACTTTCAAGAGTGCAGGGCCGATAAATGTATCTTCCGGGGTCGTGTTGCGGACAACGAAGTATATTTAGCGTTGTTTGTGGACGACGGATTAATTGCAGTAAAATCGCGTCGTGTATTAGAGCCAATAATTAAAATTTTACAAAGCGCGTTCGAAATCACCCTAGGTGATGGTCATATTTTTGTCGGGGTACAAATAGAAAGAGATAGAGAAAATAAAACTCTTTTCATTCACCAAGGGTCCTACACTCGTCATATAATCGACAAGTTTAAAATGAGCAATGCAAAAGCAATAGGTGTGCCGGCCGATCCTCATACCATATTAACTAAAAACGAATCGGTCGAAGAGAATGCTATGATAGTGCCATATCGAGAGGCAGTAGGTTCCCTCATGTTTCTTGCGGTAGTTTCACGGCCAGACATCGCGTACTCTGTGAACTCGGTGAGCAAATATGTAAGTAACTACAACGAAAGCCACTGGCAGGCCGTTAAACGCATCTTTCGTTACCTTGTCGGAACCGTCGAGGTCGGAATATTGTACACAAGCGGCGGGAGCAAATTTGAACTCGTAGGATTTTGCGACTCCGATTTTGCAAGTGATGTAGACACTCGGCGATCAACTACGGGTTATGCGTTCTGTCTTGCAGGCGGCATTGTAACGTGGTCGTGCCAACGTCAGAAACTAGTGACGTTGAGCACCACGGAAGCCGAGTACGTAGCGGCAGCAGCGGCTGCAAAAGAAGCCATATGGCTTCGAAAACTGGCGAGTGATTTAGGATTCTTATCCGAGAGTGCAACAGTATTAGCTATTGATAATCAAAGTACAATTAGGTTAATCAAAAACGCGGAGTTCCACAAACGCACTAAACATATAGATATTAAGTATCATTATATTAGAGAGATGGTAGAAAATGGTGATATCTCAGTGCAATATGTACCAACGAATCTGCAATGTGCAGATATATTTACCAAAGCACTACCAAAGAATCAATTTGATAATCTATGTTCATGTTTGGGGCTGATTAATGCTGTTACGCACTCAAACGGCGGGAGTGTTAGAAATTAAGTTTTCGCGCGTCTCAGGTGTCTCGTTGTCGTAACCACACTTGACGCAAGCGCATACATAATATTGATACAGATAGCGTGCGTGCTATCCTTTGTCTCTTAGTTCAAGTTCAAAAGGACCTCAGTACAAATAAAGCCACGCCAATGAATACCACGTTTCTCGTGCATACTTTATTTTCTCAACTCTGAATTCCGTCGGTTTTTCCCAACCTGATTCCTTAAAGCTCCTCAACAATTACATATCGTTAAATGTTTTATTTGCTATTAGAGCATTATTTATTCGCTGTTTTAATTTTAACCAAAATTTTAGTAGTTTAGCGTAACGATCGTTCCGCGTATACCAAGGACACGCGAAACGACCTCTTAGTGTTAAGATTACTTTCGTATTACGTAGATATAAGTCGTACGATAAGCAAAACCGCATTAAACTAATTATTAAAAAATCGGGTGATTCCGAAAAATATTATTTCATATTAAAAGCAAGACGTGCAATTTTGAGTTATGTACTGTAAATAGATTTTTTTAAACGCGAATCACCGCCGTGACGAAACAGGTTACGAATTGATAGCGGTGATATTTTAATTATTATTTTATGCCAAATTGCATACGAAAAGCGGTACTCTAATAACT